TCTTTTGATGCATTCTAGTCTCTATTTTAGGGAAAGATCAGATTCTGTGGTGTTCCCTTTGTGGGTTTTGGAAGGGTATTGAAAGTAATAAAAGTGCCTTGAATCTGCTTTGCGTTCGTATCATGGAATCCGTATTAGCAAATGGTTTATCTAATGGGTTTTATGGCTTGTGTTGTACGGATAAATTGAGCTTTGATTTAATATATGGATTCTTGAGATTCGGCGGGAACTTTTTTTTTATAGTTTCCCGGAAATTGGATCAACCAAACCATTTTTTAAGCGTTTAATTGGTATGTAACTTTTTACGTTGCGGTGGTGGGCTAGTGGTAGAAGGTTTCCACTTAGAGAGGAGTTGCTCTGTGGATTTAGGCTACAATTAACCCCTGAGTTCAATAATCCTCTGAAATTCTCTAACCTTTCCCATTTTGGCTAGTCGAAATGGTGCCGTGCTTATTAGAATACCTATTAGAAAATCTGGTGAGTGGGTTACTCTACGGTTATACTCACCCCAAGGAAAGTATTAGTCGGGTGGTAAAAATCCGGACTTATAAACAAAAACAAAAAGAAACTTTTCACGTTGTGTAATGTGATCCACCGAATGGTATCATGGTTGATGATTTTCCGGTTTCGTGGATACAAAATCAAGCAGTGTTAACAGTTTGAAAAGTTCATTCAAATTCGGAATTATCTAAATCTGTTGGATTGGACACTCGAATATGACTATGCTACGAATGAATATTACGATGCTGCAACCTCTTGGAATTTTTTTGGGATCGATTTCATTACATATTCGTTTAATCTATGGAGATGTGATTTCTACAAGCGGAGGTGGAGACCAATCATTGGATTTATAAAGAGAGAATCAACGTCAGAGACTACAAGCAAGGTGATATGTTTATTTTGGGAATGTCTACATAGCAAGGTATTAAGAAGATGGTTTTCACCTCACGAACAATCATGGGTATTGGATACAAACAAAAAAGATGTCATCTCTTGATGCTGGAGATGTTTGAATGGGATGCGATGGAAAAGATGGATCGTAACCAATGATCTTCTACGAATTTATTGGAGTTTATTAAAATGATAGCCAAACTAGATGATCATTTTGGGACGATGACGAACAAGGAAAATAACAGATTTGATAATTTGTTAGCGTGTAAGGCTTACCACGACCGAAAACAACGTTAAATTCACTTGTTCGGTTTATATCGTTCTACTAAAATATTTTTTTATATCTTGGTTGTATCTCTATGTCATAGATAACTATGTAAACATCGTTAATAACTTTGTATAAAATAGATGTTAAAAAAAACATTTTTTGTCGTCAAAATTCAAATCATTTAAAATGCATTGAACCAATAAATAGGAATAAATCGAT